AGTCCCACAGGACCCCCCCTCATCCAGGCAACTGCAGTAGGTCTCCAGCACATGAGCGGCGAGCCAAATCTGTTTGGTCTAGAGAGAAAACGAGTGTTAGAATGTATGAACTTGAATTTTAAATTATTCTCTTTCTTTTTTTTCTTTTTTTTTTTTTTCAAAGCACAGACATATTTTGAGAGAGATGCTATGTAAATGTTTGATTTATTCATTATCCACGCATAGAGTCTATGTGTGGCCACAGATGAAAAGAGAAATGTTTTAGACTAAAGAGATGTATTTGGAGACTGTGGCCCCTCCACCCGGATCTGATGATGCGCTTTGAATGTATTAATCCTCTGTTCTGAATCCAGTCAGATGTGCAACTGTGTGTGTCTTCAATCTTTTATGGTGCCATGTATTTGTTTGCCATGTTTTGATATACATATATATGTGCATATATGTATATACAGTACATATATACATATGTATATGTATGAAATTGTTGGCCGAGATTTCTTTTTTTAATCACACAAAAGAGCAGTTTGGAGACGCCTGCTCGGTTTTTAAGCACACAAACATGGTCTGTTTGCTTCAGCTCATCTTAACGTACACTGGATAAGGCCTCAGACTCGTCCGCTCAATGACATTAAACACTACAAAACCCACCAACACTGAAGGTCCAGAACACTTTCAAACACCAGTCCACAGACTTGTTTTTCTCTTTCCACAGATTTTGACAGACAGGAGGCCCTGTAGACGAAAAAGGAAGCTTCTGCTCCTTTAACTGACGCCCGTTCAAAACACGCCATCTTCTTTTTCTTTTCTTTTCATGATTTTTGGTGCCTTTAAGTGCAAAAGAATTTATATACAAGACACGATGACTGCAAGAAACCACAGTGTGGGCACATTGAAGCCCGGGATTAAAACACTTTTTGCAGTTTCTCTCGTCTTCCACAAGTTTGTGATAAGATCACTGCAGTTTCATTTGGAAGTTTTAAAAGTCGGATGCAAACTTGAAACCAGCAGGTGCACTTTGTTCTTTGAAATCCTAGTAAAAAAAACCTGGTCCGGTTAGGTTTTTATTTGTGTTTTTTTGTGCAGCCACACAGAGCAACGCCACACATGAGCCTGCTGCACTGAACCCCCGCTGCTGTCCCAATTAGACCATGGAAATATTTAATGACTGACTAATGCCTGTTTGGCCTGTTTAGTTTTTTATCATTTCTTTTTCTTTGCCTTTTTAAAAAATTTTTTATAGCGTCTCTGTGGAGCAGATTTCACAGAAAGCCTTATCAGAAAACTCCAAAACCTTTCCATCGCGTTCAGTTAGCAGCAAACGGTGATTTCCTTTCCCTCGTGTCAAATGTGATATGTAGTTCAGTGTTGCGCAATATTTCAACTGACCACAACGTTTCCGCTCATCTCACCACGTCCTTTTGCATTTGTCCAGCGTTTAGCTGGTGTGGGCTCTCCCCGGGTCTGGAGAGCGTGTGGACACATCATTATACCAAAGGTCACGTCTTCAGCTGGACGAGTGCAATGGCAAATCCACAGACACACCACAGTGGAATATGTGAATCTAAACAGGGATTAAAATGTCAGATGTTATCATGAACTTTTTTTATTGTACAAAAAAATATATTTTGTGTTGTTTTGTTTTTTTGTTTCTTTTTTTATTTAAAGCTCACGTTATATTACTGTGAAGTTCTGCTTATCAGTGTTAAGCTTATTGTAAATAATAAAGATATTGATGAATCTTATTGTGATGGATCCGGTTTCTTCATTTACATTTTTACATTGTTGGAGCTACGGCATTAGTTCAAATTTTCGCCAATTTGTTTTCCATTAAGTAGAGCCGAGGTGGGGAAGGAGCCTATCCCAACTCTTTTAAGCAAAGATGGAGAGGCCACGGGTCCATTAAAGGGCCACACAGGCATGCACGCTCACACCGACTCTAGTGTGAGTTTAGAGTCATCAGGTAACTCAACATGCATGTTTTGAGGAGGAAGCTGCAGTACCCAGAGAGAACTGATATTTTCAGCAAAGCCCAATATTACATTATACACTACATAGCCCTAAATGATGATAAATGATAGACAAAATAGAGGAGCTTTTTTTTTCATATTTAGCTTTCCAAAAAACAAAAAAATCCAAGGGTTTTTTCTTCAGATCTACTGCAGTCAGTTCAGATTGGTTGAAAAAGAAATCCAGACCAAAGAAGAAGAACTCACATATTGGAGAAAAAAAATCTAAATGATTATTTTGTGATACCACAAAGTAAGTTTATTAGCCAAATATCCTATATTAATAGTAAATATTCAGTACAATATTAATGCCGAGATGAAAGGGACAGATGCACAGACCACTTCATGTGCACATTATTTCCTTTAGCAAACACTTCCAGGGACCACAGTGAAACATTTTCTCAACACAAACACCTTTTATCTACATAATGTTTCACTTCATTAGAATTAATTTCAGAACCTACTGTGAACTTGAACGTTAAAAAAATGGTAAACATAAATATAAGTGAGCAATCCCCTTTTCATTAAGAAAAAGGATTTTTAGTTTTAAGAAAGATATGTATCTGTTCAGATAATTCTCAAAGTTTGCAAAACAAAAACTTTAAAAAAAAATTACGTTTTCATTGTTTTTATTCATTTATGTGGCCTCCGTTGTGCTTACATGAGCAGGCTTGTCTCTTTGATAAGAGTTTAACTATAAATTGAGAATTTTATAGTAGGATATTTACGGTAAAAACTGGGATTTTGGATACTTGTCCCTAGAAGTGCTTTAACTATAATGATCGACTGTCCTCGCGAGCGTCCTCGCGCCGGTGACGCCAGCCCACGCCATATGCGGCTCCTCCCCAACGGCAGGCTGGTGTAAAGATGGCGTCCATCATGGAGGGGCCGCTAAGCAAGTGGACTAACGTCATGAAAGGTTGGCAGTATCGTTGGTTTGTTTTGGACTACAATGCCGGCTTGCTGTCATACTACACGGTGAGTGGTTTCCGCCGGTTTGGAAGTCTTAAAGTGGTCTGTTACCAGGGTTACCTTGCAGAAGTTGTCGCTGGTTGTCATACACAAGTGGCATAGGGCCTTGTGTTTGTCAGGAGTTGGGAGTATCAGCTGGGATAAAGAGGCGAGTCTGCTTGGTGATTGATCTACTCGTCGACCAATAGTAGTGGCCCTCGAGAACCAATTAACGAATAGTGGCTTCGTTTTATCTGTACTTCCGCTTGTGAGGCTAGCTAGCTAAGCTACAACCAGGAATTCATATACCTGAACGAATAGTCAAAATTAACTTAAAAGTTGTGGTAGGGTTAAACGTCTGTGTGTGAATGTATAACGGTCGGGAAGTTTTAGTCACTGGTTATCAGACGAGGGTCAAATATTTCTTGCTATGGTAGTAAAAGCCAAACCTATACCGCGGGAGCTAGTTAGTTTTTTTTTAATGAATAGCGAGTAATGTGCAGCTCTGTGATCGGTTTTGGGGTTTGAAGTCGAGAGTAAAGTAGACTAAAAAATAGTGTTACATTTGTGTCAGTTGGAGAGGATGTTAAGAGCCAGCAACCCTGAGCTCCACATTGCTCTTCAAAAGTTGCTTGGATGATCAAATTGTTTCTCTTCTGCACATTTACATTACACAGAGCGGGAATGGGACATCATTGACACCGTTTTCATTGTCCTCAAGGGATGTAACTTGCTTAAAATCGTTCATGCCCTCGTTAAAGGTGATATTTTCCCTACTGGTGCATTGACAGTTCAAGCTGAACTGTAATACTGGAGCAGCCCATGTCCCAAGCATCATGAAAACCAGGTACTGGCTAATGGCTGTTCAGAGGGAGAGCTGGATGTTAGTTTGCTTCTGGGACATTGTAAGTGGCAGGAATGACATTTACACCAGCTGATAATGCTTTAATAACTTATAGCAGTGATATAAGCAACTGAAACATGGTATGTAATCAGGATGCTACTTTTGCTGCATATGGAGGTGGAGCAGTTTTAAAATACTTTATCTTCAGTTTCTGTTTACAGCGACACCAGATAAGTCTGAAATCTGAAACCACAAGATGATAATGAAAGGTCAGAAAGGTTTGTTTTAAAGCTCTTGATCATCTGAGCACGTTTTAGCTGCTTTATGGGACAGTTTACAGTATTACATATTGGTTAGAAAATTAAATATGAAGTAGTATAAACTAAAAAATGATCAAGAGAAGAGCCAAATCTGTAAAACTGCCCTGTTCCTTACAAATGTTCCATGCTTGCACTTCTTGGTAAGCATTTTATTGGTGTCCCTCAGTACAATAATAGCTAAAGAAGATGCTGATCTGTTATTCAGATGTAGAACACTGTTTGGGATGTTGTTATGAATCAGTACTTTTCTCTACCATAATTCTGTTATAAAGGCTGGATTACATTTTTCACCTTATGATATTGGTGCATCATAATATGTCATGACTATATTTACGTCTTTTTTGCTCTGTTGTTGCTTTTCAGTCAAAGGACAAGATGATGCGAGGATCCAGAAGAGGCTGTGTGCGACTCAGGGTAATTCCCTCTTTTTCCTGTCTTTTGCAACTCAACCACACACCGTTCACTGCTAGTGCCCTGCTTTTCCAAATATTTAAACTATTTATTTCTGACTCTGTCTGGATTTGACTGATCAGAAGAGCCCTGGAGCAGACAGAAGGCCTGTATGTGGCACTTATTTGTTTCCCTGAATTCCTGCAGAATAACATTGAGCCCCTTATTTCATGATTTCTTTCCCAAAGTATGAACACATTTCAAGGTTTTCTGCAGCCATATGCACCCACTGCATCAGTTGGTCCAGGAAAGGCGTTTAGTCCATGGAGCTTGTTTTCAGTGTCCGGCTTTGCCCACTAGATGGTAGCAAATCATTCCTCAAGCATGTGAGTATAGTTAAGAGAGCTTTTCATGGGACAGGGCCTGACACTGACACTGTCAGAGGAGTCGGGTGGCTGCAGAAACTAAGTGCACACGTTGACTCGGCTAAATGCAGTTAGTTATTCCTCCTGTTGTTGAGTTAATGTTTTACTGCATTGGAGTCTTCTCTGAATCTCAGAAACGTCCTCTCTGAACTGTCAGGCCTGCCCCCCCCCCAGTGGATATCCAGCAATGCTGGCGAAGTTCAGATACTCGGACTCCTGTCTGGATGAGAGGGACCAAGTAAAGGTTGTCGGGTGTTATGTGGACCACAGTTTATACAGCCCTAAACAAAACTTCTGGAGCCAGTGGACCAAAATAACCTGAAATTTCACCTCGATTGAAGCCATTCTTTATGCAGTAGCCACTGGTCTTTCTGTATTTCTAAGCTTTTCTTTTCCCAAATGTGACAAGGGAAGAGAGGTGGGTCTGTCCTCATCCTAATTCTACTAATTATTAGGTTCATAGTAGCGATGTTTGATGTATCACATGCATGTCATTAAATGCTATCACTAGGCTTTCTGCTATTCCTTAAATTTTGCATTTCCCCTGATTGTATAGGCGCAAATGGCTGTTTGAAAATCAGCAGTAGAATCCACCTTAATGAAGATTTAGTGGAGGAAGTATCTCGTGACACTACCTGAATCAGGACTCGCTGTCATTTATTTTCACATAGTCTAAAGACAAAGGTGGTTTTGTGGCTGGACAAGGGATTTGATACTAGCTGCCGAAAGCGTTTAGTTTCATTGGACTTATTTAGACCCGGGTCAACAGCAGAATAATCTATATGTAGAGTGAAAACTGTGTTGCTTTACCCTTCTGGAAGACAGTTTTCACCTTATAAGATTCAGACTTTCATAGATTCTTGAGACATGACAGCATCAAAGCCAAGTTTTTAGAGTTACCCTGTGCTCTTCAGTCTTGGTTACCATAACTGTGAGACCATATCTTTCATGTGTTGTTAGTAACTCTGAATGCCAGCAAAGTTAGCATTTTAATTGTTCACAGTAGTTCTTATCCATGTAAGTGTTCTATGCTGTACAGTTTTGTTCAGAGAATGGGCACCTGCCAGCTGGCTTTGGATGAAGAGCATGCAATAGGAGCTAACCTTTGAAAGCAAACTCACACTGACAATGTTCTGTCCACATAACTCTGCTTGAGCAGGAAATCTGTGGTCAAACCTAATGACCTCCTTGTTCCTTATGTTGGTCTCCAAGTAAAAGGATTTGCAGTAAACATTGAGGCTGATGTGGTAAAAGAGCTTCCACTATAGTAACATCACAGAGCACTAAAAAGGGCACTAAGAGGTGGGGTGTCTCGTCTTAATCATTTATAATTATTTGTCCTAAATGATGAGGTTGCTTTTTTCTTCCACGCCCACTGTGACCTGACTTTGGCCTCATTTTACTTAAAGAAATAACGACCTATCTACGGTGTGACCGGCTTTCTAAATGGATATTTTGGGTGGAGGCCGAGCATGGGGCGGGTTCTGCTAGAAGCCCAGTTGGATCTTGTGTTATTCATTTGAAGAGGCTGGTTGCAGCAGCACATCACAAGGTAGGAGGCACAAGATTTAGGCTCTCAGGCTCCATTAGCTCTTCCTCGCCGTGCGGCTGTTAAATCTGTTTCAGAAAGCAGAACCTGCCGTGTGGTGGCTGGAGAAAAAGGAGACTGGTCTGCTACACTTAGCAGTCGTTGACCGATTTCAGCCTGAAACTCGCAGTAGAAATATAAAAACTGTCCAGATGTGCTCCGTTGAGACTTATTTTCCTGCTCTTCCTTTTGGTCTGCCCCGGCTTAGGGTTGCTCTTTTCCTCTCTGAGCTCCAGGTCCACCGTGGTGTCAGCGTTGCTAGGAGCTCCGGCTCCAGCCGTAGCCAGCTTACCATTTCCCTGCGAGTGTTTTTTCTTGTTGGCTGCCTGCAGCCGCTGGTCCCCGGTGTCTGCCCCCCCCCCCTGCCCGCTCTCCTCCTTCAGTCTCCCAAATCCCACCTCCTCCCCTCCCTTTCTCCATCCGTGTTCCAAACGGCTGCACTTGTGAGCGTGTGATGGAGAAACGCTGGGAAGATTTGAAAGAGACGACCAGGCGAGAAGACAAGCAGCTTTTAGAGGGAACAGAGTGAGCTGCTAAAGGAGACTTGTTTTGAAAAGAGAGGGAGGTCAGGTGCTGCAGGGACGTGTGGAGGGCATGAGGACGGGAATAGAAAGTGGAGTATGATGCGTCCTGCTGGCTGACCGCTTCCTTTCCCCCCTCTGTCTGCCCAGGGAGCTGTGATCGGCATTGATGACGAGGACGACAGCACATTCACCATCACTGTGGACCAGAAGACTTTCCATTTCCAAGGTGAGCCTTCCTCTCTCCTGCCTCTCTTGCTCTGGGATTGCTTTGGGATCCATCTGTGCTGTTCGTTAGCTGTCTGTCACTCCCTCTCTCTCACTCCTCTTTCCCTCCCCACCTTTAAAGACTTGGATTGGTTTGCTCTAATGCCAGGAAATGCATGCAGACTCAGTTATCTGCACAAATCAGACAGCAGGCTTCTGAGCTGCTTCTTTTCCGAGTAGCTCCTGTCAGTCGGACTGCCGTGTTTTTCTAGATGAATCAGATTTGTTCTGGTCCCAGCAACACAGACTCCTCTGCAGCTTTTTTTTTCTTTTTTCCTCGGCCTTCCTGACTGTGGCAGAAGAGGAAGTTTGCTGCTGTTTCAGAGTCTCTGCAGTGGAGCCTCTGGGAATTGGAAGGGAAAACTGCTGAGCTCGGGACTCTCTGGGTCGCTGCCTGTGTTTAGCCGCTGCTGCGCCGCTGCTGCCACTCGCTGTCCGGCGAGCGGGCCCCCCCCCCCCGTCAGTCCCTCCCTCCTTTTTGACACGGAGCTGTCCACTTCAGCACGCCGCAGACACCCAGTTTTTCTTCCTTTTCCCTAAACCTTCGCCAGGTCTTTAACTAATCTGCTGTGACTTTGTTTCATTTCTGTCCTTCCATTTGTCAGTTTCTTACCCATCTTGCCACCCCCGAACCCCCGCACACTCTCCCCTCCAGCACCCACCTGCCACCTCCGTCTCCAGAGTCACTAGCCACAGTCCATGGGCCTCCAGCCCCTCCCACCTCCTCCATGCCCTCTCCCATGTCTGTGTTCCGAAGCTGTATGCTGTGGTTCTACAAACGCAAGGGTAAGCAGGAAATCGCTCCGTGTCCCGGTCAGCATGCCCGCCGCTGGCCAGGAGGCGTTGTTTGGGTCCTGCCTGGGATGTGGAGTTATGCTTTGGTCTGAGGTGGAGGTTGGAGCACAGCTCAGAGAAGCGGGAGGCTGAGGGGGGACTTCTGAAGGACAGCAGAGCCAGAACCGGTTGTCTCTGCAACCCAGGGTTGTTTAAAGAGTTGTTGGTGCCTTCTCATGCTGTTTATCGGTGAGCGAGGATCGTTTGTTCCTAGTTCTTCTCCATCCAGGGTGGTGGTAAGTTGTATGAGAGTCATGTGCTTATTAGAGAGTAACAGCTCCAATGTTAGCATTCCAGTTTATTCCAGAACTTTCTGAGCTCCCGTCAGTCAGACTTTGGCATCATCTTGTTACGTCAAAGATGCAATCTAGTTATTAGCTCTGTGTGATGAGTTGCTGTCTGAAATGGTCTGAGTAATGACAGCCTAATTGTTCTGATTGGGTTTGAATTTTCCTTGTCGAAAAGCCTTTCGAGAAGCCTTTGTTGCAGAAGTCAGACCGGTTGGATTTGTCGCTGTTTTTAAAAAAAATTTCCCTCATTGATGGAAACCCAGAGAACAAAGCATTTCTACAACATTTAGAACTGACATACAATTAGTGCCTTCAGACTATAGACTGTAGACTGTCGACTGTCCTCTCACGGGCCCGTCATCCTGAGAGGAGGATGGGCGGGGGGCTGAAATGTCACAGCCACAGACGCCTGTCTCTCCAGAAACCCAGAGGAACTCAGCCACCACCAGGAGGAGCTGGAAAACTGGCTCTGGACACACATTTCTGTCTACTGTTAGCACCGATATGTCGAACGGGGTCCTCTCACCTGTAAAACCACCTCAGTCTGACCATGTCAGCAGTGGCTCTCTCTGGATTTGCATCTTGTGAGACGGGCTGAGCTTTTTCGATTGCTGAAATAGACTACAGAGCAAGACTGGCATGTCTTTTTCCACTTCTGAAGCGGCTGCTGTTGAGCTGTATCCTGTTTCTGCTCTCCGGCTGTGCTGTAGTGTAAAAATGATCCCCCTTATCGATTGGGCCATGCTGCTTCTGGTTATGGAACAGTCCACCTCACAGGCTGGGCTGTATTTCAGGGCTTATCTTTTACCACGTGTCATGACCATAGTTCTGTTTTCCAGCTATTTACAGAAGCATCCATTATTTATCAGCCTCGCTCCTCCAGTGGCGCATCATGGATGAACTAAGGAGCTCCTTTCCACTTTCCCGCTGCTCTCTGCTGGTCCCGTCTGTCCTGCAGAAGCCATCAATCTCCCCGTCAGGCCACCCAGCCTGCTGGGAACATCAGACCAGGATGAGACGTCTTCTGATGTTCTCCGTTGCCCCTTAGGGTTTTCCCTTCAGCCTCACATCCCCTGCACTGTCTCTTCGTTTTTCTCTTCAATCTCACAGCTCTATTCTGTCAGGAAAGCGTCTGGTTCGGTCGACTCGGTCGACTATTTAGCGCACACGCCAAAGTCATGGCTTTTCATTTCAGCCAAGTTCACTAATCGTGTAGGAAATTAGCAAACACAGGCCAGGTGATTATGTCAATGAGCTTAGATGATGTTGGCAGAGAGAAAAAGGCCCTTATTTGCTACACGCTGTGGCTGTTTTAGTGTCACAGTCCGGCCGGTTAGCAGTCCAGTATCACTCTCCGCTTCTCCCACTGGAGCCTGACCCATCAGCCTGGAAATGGCAGCAGGAGAAAGACATGGCTATGGATGAATAATTCACAAAGGAGGTTTGGAGCTGTAGCATCATAAGGTAAAAGGCCCAGTGTTGTAAGGAGAAATGATCACACTCTGAAAAAGATAACATCCCTGGCTCTGTTGGCTTACTGTTGTGATTTTGTAAGTTTGTTCAGCCTGTTCTGAAGGTGTGACACATTTTTAGATTCGTGTGCCTCTGCTTCCCTGTCCTTGACATTAGCTGCTGTCAAGGCGACCACATCAGTCCGTTGCTTGATGATGTATGTAGAGGCATATTTGCACACAATTGCTTCCTCTCCAGCTGGTTCAGCAGAGATGAGGGAAGCGAAATAGCACAAACAACTTCACTTCTGTGGATGTTAGCCAAGAGAAACAGTTTTCTAGCACAGTTCCCTTTTTTATCTAACATTTGCATAGTTTCAGTATAGTACAAGCTAAATATAAGTCCAATATTAGTCATTTTTGACATTGTCTAGTGGGTTATGTTGCTGCGTAGTCTGACAGTGGAGTTACTTAAAACCCAGCCAATCAAACTTTGGCTGTTCTTTTTTCTTTCTTTTTTTTATATCATCCTGGTCACATGATGTAGAGGAAGAAAGTAAGAGTGTGTTGAATACACAGTGATGTCAAACAGTTATGGTGGAGCTCAAACAAACATGCTCAAGTGTAGTACAGTGCGTTTAGAAATGCTGATTCCTGAATCTGTGAATATGTAACTGCAGCTAAATGGAGTCCATGTCACAAAGCATGTACCATGGCTTATCTGAAATCAGTCAGGCTGGTTTTTCTTTCAATCTGATTGCCTTTTCAGTTTATTCTTCATAAAGTGTCATTTTGTTGACACCATAAAGGCTTTTCTTTGCCCATCGGTGGTGATGGGACGGGGGCATCACATGACTTTGCTATTAGCACATAACCTTTATCTGAGTTTTTTTCCACAGAATCAGTTCCCGATTCTGCATACGAGGTTACACCCATAATCGGTGTAGATACTCAGGACTGCAACTCTGTGTTTGTTCCGTATGTGGAAGTGGGTTTTGTTTGGAGGAGCTGCGGTGTGGGGACGGTGGCCCTTTATCTGCCAGGGCCTCTGCAGTTATCGGGACAGTCTGGATCTGAGTGAATGAACCAAGTCTTAAGGTGTTTGGTACAGTACCTCCTCTGTGTGCTTATTCTCCTGACGGGTTTTGTCAGCTTTTCTATATCCAGCACGGCATCAGGGCCCACAGTAATTAGATTTAGTCTGCACGCTGTCCTCAGTTATGACACTGCTTTGCAGCTGGGCCTTGGGGCGAGGACACATTCTTACAGGCTTTAAACGGCATTGTAAAACTCCCATCTGGGTTGTTTGTAGTGAGTTAAAGGAAAGAAAAACCACTGAGCGATGGAACTTTTGGACTTTTGTTATCCTCATTGCTGCATTTAATGTGATAGAAGCACAGACCAGCTCAAAGCCACCCCTTTTAACGGCTTTGGTCTTCCCAGTAGATTCTCCTTTTTGCCTCGTCCAGGTAAATGTTTAAAGGTCCCATAACCTGCTGAAATGTTTAACTCCAGGTTAACAGGGTGGTTTGTGTGTCAGGGTCAGGCCGGTCTCTGCTCCTCTTATGTTTAACAGCCTGAAGCCGTGGATCTGCTGTGCTGACTAAATGCTAACGCCAGTCGGATGGACTTGACTGAGAGCTCGTACAGCTTCAATCCTTGTTTTTGTTTGGTACTTAAAAGGCTGGGTTACTGTCGTGTCCCTGTCACAAATTCAGCTAAACGACATTAACCTCGATAATCTGCTTCTGTGGCGAGTCTGTTTGGCTGAGGGGAAAGCGAGAGGGCAGCAAGGCTCTGTCTGAGTGGATTGGCTTGAACCTCGGCTGCCTTTTAATGTCTTTAAAAGCTTTTCTGCTGTGGCACAGCTCAGCTTCTGTGCTTCCACAGCCTTTCATCTGCGCTGCTGTCTTGTGTCCAGCTCAAAGAAAAGCGACTCTAAACCACTGTATCGTTGGCCGGCCAGTTTAAGGGCAGGTATCTTATTAAGTTCTTCTCTGATTGCTTTTAAAGGGGCCAGCATCCACACATGGAGGGCAGGAAACAGTAGATCTGTTCCAGAACAAAAAGCCTCTGATACCTGAAAAAAAGGTTTCTGAGGACGCACGGAAAACCTGGTGTCCAGCTGAATCTGGGCCGTGTGGAAAGAACTAAATGTGGTACCTCTGCATGCCACCGACTCCAAAACACTGTGTGCCCTGCACTTCCCAGCCTTCACAGAAGCACTGTTTATTGTGGCTGGCGGTCTGTTTGCTCTCCGTCTTTGCCTTGAGGGTGCTGCAGCATTTCAGAATCAGTCCTGCCTCACCTCTCTGAGGCCGCGTCAGAGGATTAACTTTACAAACCCCACAGAAGAGGCAGCTTATTCTCTCTGTATTGATTTACCCGTGGCTTTCATAAGCAGGACAGGCTATCGTAGCTTATTATGGAACAGTGCTGTCAGTGAGATTCAGTGTGAACAGAAACTGCAAGTGGATATTTGTATCTTTCATAGGAAAACTAACTGACTTATGAGTGTTTTTTTTGTTTTTTTTACCAGACCTGGAATTAAGGATTCTGTATTTGGCTTTTGAACATACTTCCATACTTCCAAAGGTTCAACGTCCAGTTGAACCTTTTCATCACAGTCAAGGATTCAGACTCTCGCTGTTTCAGTCTTTTGTCCCTTACTTTTTCTTATTTACAACTCCATCTTGGCTAACTGATTTCAAGTGTTTTTTTTACAGAGACACTTACCATTTGCAGAGCCCTGCACCCTCACTAAGCCCTCAGCTTGCCTTTTTGACATTTAATCCTGGATGTCCCAGAATTTCCCTAAATTCAATTATGTATAAGTGGGAGATCCTTCCCTTTTGTTCCTCTAATACTTTCAGGACTGTTGATTCCAATCTTTGCAGTTTTTCAGATGACAGCAGTCATTTCTGTCCACTGCTGGCTGACTGACTACGGGGAGTGTGCTGATGATAGTCAGGGCTCTCTGTCGTCTCCTGTTGATTTGAAATGCTACACCTGGACCTTTTTAAACACAAAAAGCTCGAACACATCATTCTGATACTGATTTAAAAGCCTTAAATAGCCTGTCCTTAAGATATATCTGAAGTTTGTCATCCTGATATTTTTACTGGCGACCTCCTGTGAGGCACAGATGCTGTCCTGAGAACGGTTCTCTGATCCCGGCTTGACAGGGACATTTAGGAAATCTTTTCCTCTAAAATCCTGCTAACCCAAGCTGCCTTCAACCCTCTTAAAGCTGAGCTGAGCTGCTAACCTGGCTCTTTCCCGTCCCTGTGTTAGTGCTACTACCCACTGTGTCAGTTTGTCATCACTACAAACACCACTTATACACACAAAGCACCACTTAGACACACTGGCCACGCAGTGGGAGTTGTGTGTTGTTGTGCTCTTCTCTCCAAAGATTTCTTCATGTATTTGATTCTTTTCACTGGCCATACAGCAGTTTTAGACTCCAGAAGTTTCCATCACTGTGTCACCACTTCTCATGTCATTCCCGTGTTGTCTTGGTGCGTGTGTGTGTGTTAACACGAGTGCAATGGCTGATTTGTGGCTGCGTGGAAAAGGCGGCTCACTGGGTGTCTACCTGTTTGTGTGCCTCTGTCCTCAGCCCGAGATGCGGACGAGCGGGAGAAGTGGATCCACGCCTTAGAGGGAACTATTCTCCGTCACACCCTCCAGCTCCGGGTATGTGTTTATATACGTGTGCATGTGTGTCTAATCCATCTCACAAGAGGCGAGTTGGACGAGAAAGTAACTTTTCTGCTGGGAATCCTGATGTTTACTTGCCTGTTTTATGGTAATTCCAACGTTAGCGTCTGTATTTGCAATTTGTTTTCATCCAAAGCAAATAATGTGAAAGTGTTGACTATAGATGGGATTTTGGAGTAAATGGAATGCGTAAGGTGAGAATAAATATGGTGGTCTTCTGACTTTCTTTTGCACAGCCTCAGATTTTCCATTTGCATGCTCCATGTATTCTGTTCTGTGGTGAGCCACAATTCTCATGGGACAGCTTTGCATATCAGAAGTTGTCGACTGCGTTTGTGTCTGATTTGTGAAAGTCTGTTCTGTCTGAGTTGACACTGCGTTGACTTTTGGGACATTCTAAAGGAGAGCGTTAGTATTTTTATTAGTTTGATGGAAAGTCTGTCGCTTTGTTTTCACGCTGCTTTTGTCTGGCTTTTCGGAGTGTTTTTGACTGACTGCGTGTCTTGTTTTTCTCCTTTGCTCTCCTCCCCTAAAATAAACCTTCCTGCGTCGTCTTTCCTTGATGGCTGCTGTTCCTCCTGCCCATCTTGGCCTCTTTTTCATCCTCATAACCAACCTCGTCATTTGCCTCTGCTCCCACCTTCTCTTTTCGGCCCCCTCCCCCTCCCCTTCGTGGCAAATCCCTCTGTGCTACGTGTGTCTGCTCACTCAGCGCGCACAAACACACACACACACGCTCTTGGGCTCGCTGCTGTCATGGAACCACATGACCCAGCACTAACCAACCGCGGGTCGGGTTGCTCGACGAGCCAAACATCTGCATCTGCTGCCCCGGCCAATCAGAGCGTCTGTTAGTGCCTCTCTGCTGCGTTTTTCTCTTCTGCCTGTGTGAGAGGAAGTGTGCCCTTCCTGCCAGGGGAGGGTCCAGGATTAACTCGACTCTGTCTGCCTGGAGCCAAATGCTGAGCTGCTAACCGCCGCTGTAGGATATTTGTATCCAGACCGGCTTTAAAGCAAAGGCAGTGGGAAGGCTGCTGCAGTTTATTTTGGCTGAGCAAGAGGAGGAGGCTCTCTTTTTTCTTTCCTTTTTTCCCACTTTGTTTTGATGTCTACAAGGGAACATGGTAACTTCAGTAGAGCGGGTGGGTTGTGGCTGCGGGGGGAGAAAATAACGGCGTCAGGGAGAAAAGCAGCTTGTGTCAGGCCGAACAGCCGGAGATGCACGAGGTCTGATGCAGCATGTTCATTGGAGCGAGGCAGCCTGTAAGTTAAACCCACACGCACAGGAAAACACCACTGCACCACAGCAGGGAGAACTTTATCAGCTGCAGTGCTGCTGGGGCAGCAAAGTGGGTCACTCTGTGTGGAGCCAAACACGGAAAGTGGGGGGGGGGGGGCTGACTGTTGTGGAGTGGCAAATGTTTGGGCGGGTGCGACTGTTGATGCGAGTCTTTCCGAGCTGCTCCCAAGTGTTCCCCGGGCGGTGGGAATGAGTGGGGGCAGAGGGGCAGACGTCTGGGGATATGTGTGGAGCAGAGAGGGACTGAGCACCATGACGAGGCCCCGCTGTAGCCTAGAGACCAGCCACACGCGCTCCCACCTAATCTGCTCAGCCTGTAAACCGGCATTTCCCCTACTCCATGTATGTGGACAAAACACCAGCTGCTGCTCTCTGCATCAAAGAGGACATCTTTTCTCTGTCTTACCCTGCTTTCGTAGATTTTCTGCTTTTAGGCGTGCGTGTTCAGGCTTTTGACGCCAGTATCTGTGGGTGAGGGAGAGGGGCTCTTCACATGTAAAAGCAAGGAGACAGAAGACGGTTTTGCTTTGCTTTCTGTTTTGGCCTTGTGCTGTTGGCCTGTGTCGTAAAAAGATTAATGGACCCCATTGTTTTCTTCTGCCCCCCCCCCCATCACTATCGATGAGGTTTTTAGCCGGGGTTCCACTGTGGCCAGCGATTTCTTTTAGTCTTTAGTCTCACTAAGCTAACAGTGCGTGCACCTTTGATCCTTTCAGGAAGTTTGACCTGGTAACTGCTTACTTCGCAGCCGCTGAGCTAATGCAGACTTTGCTCTCTGGGAAGCTAGCATGTTTAAACTTCAGACAGTCTTAGGCCAGAGCAGCCGGGCCGATGGCTTTTCTTCACGTCCCCATGAGATCGCCGCCAGCGGGAAGAGCAGACGGGAGGGCTGTGCGGCGCAGCAAATCCAAGGTGGCGGGGGCCGTCGTCAGGGTTTGATAAGAGCTCTATTCACTTCCCAATCAGGACGGGTTATAGTTTGATCGCCTCTTTCTCTGACTGCTGCTCCATGCACGAGTCTGCTCAGTATTTTTCCATGTCTGGTAAAGTGCTCCAGCTCATGCAGGCTTAGTCATGGGCTGAGTGCTCCGGCCGGACAGACGGTCATCACCGGGTTGTTGTTGGTTCTGAGCCTCGTTGCCGTTGACGCACTCGGGCATTACATGTGATATTTTTTTCCTTTTGTTTTTTAGAGGAAGTCTTTGCTTTTTGTTCATTTACCTGCCAGCTGTCCCCCTTTGTTGCTTTGTGTCCCAGCCGACTGGATTTTTCTGGGTGTTCCGGTGGACTCAGACAGATTTGTGCTCACATATGTTTAGCCAGTAGTCTACTAAATGCCTTTATAAGGGATGTTATGTAATGGTTGGTGAGGATTTTAGGGCTGTAAAGGGAAGCTAATTAACAAACAATTAATTGCACCTCAACCCATTTAAACATCCTCCAGCCCGGAATTTGTTAGTTTGTTTGTTTTTTCTTTCTAGTTTGCGTCAAGCCTGAAATGTGTTTGCCTCCTCTCAGGCCAGCAGACCCGCAGGCTTTTCATATAGACGAGCTTTAAAACAATACTATTCATACTGTATCTCACCTAGTGCAGCACCACGTTGCTGGAAGATTCTCCTGGACTGTTGATGTTTCTGTCCACCATTTTGTTTAACAGTACACAAAACCCATCTGTCCAGGAGACTGGCCATCATTTTATGAATGGATGTGACCCTCGGTAATTGGTCATTGGTCTGGTCGTACCAGGGGTTTGACTGGACGTGCACTAATGCTCAGTGTTGTTTCTTTTCCTGTCCACAGGAGGCTGAGACAGGATTTGTTCCGAGCGTTCAAGACTTTGACAAGAAACTAGCCGAAGCAGACGCCTACCTACAGATTCTGATTGACCAGTTGAAGGTAGGCAGCCTGTCTGATGGAAGGTTATCATCAATGTGCATAAGCGGTAATCTAGTGCCATATAAAATATTCTTTACAACTGTTTATTGTGAATTGCTATCTAAAATGTATTTAACTCCTTTGTATCCCTTCTAAGTTGCTTTAGATCAAAACATCTGCTACATGCATAAAAATAAATTCCAGGAACAGAAGCTTAAAGCATTTCTTTGAGATTATTTCTCTGTATGTTCACCATAAGCACGGCATGCTATGGGTTCTCTCTCACATCGTCTCACACGTTTTGCTGTTCTGAATATCCCTTTTAAGAAAGCGGCAGTTATTGGTAGGATGGTGAGAAAGCAAAGCCGGCGCAGGCACAGGTTCTCAGACACTGAGCTGTGAGAACAGCTCCATGCCGGTCACTGCTGAATCTCAGGCCAAACTGCGCGCCACAAATTCTCCCTCTGATCCTAAACAGCGTCTTCTGACTCCAGAAGCATCTCTGCTCATTCTCTGACTGTCTGTTTGACCCCTTTCATCTCTCGCTCTCACACAGCTGTTTGATGAGAAGATCAAGGACTGCAAAGAGGATGAATCGCGCAGAGTGAGTACCCACAGGGTCAATCTCTCAGCCCTCTGGTTTTCTGAGGCTGGGCCTTTGAATATTTATGGTGTATTTATCTAAAACAACAAAAATCCTCTCACCTGTCTGCACTAAAACTTGTTCTGTATCAAACTTTCATCCACCTTCACACACTCCAAATACAGTTCACCTTTCATCCCCTAATCCCAGATTATACGTATGATTATTTTACTTACTGATTAACCTTCTTCAGAGAGAATGTAGCACACATTTTTAGAGTCCTGCATCCATTTCTGTGCTCCTCCATGCAGAGCTTCATGACATGTCATTGCATCCTCCAAAATATTTTTAGGCAAAAAATATTTTTCAAAATAATATGCTTAGAATTAAGAACAAAAATAAACTTATTGGTAATTTGATTGTATTGTTTAATTTTTTAGAATGCTTTCAGCCTATCACAATGCTTTCTATTATCTACTCGCATATATAAACCACTTATCCTTAAATTTTTCTTTAATATTGCTCTGCTATTGGCATCCCTGTGCTGGGTTAACTTCAGTGTCATGGTTTAAAAGCTTAACACCATGAAATCACAACCAGAAAGCATTACAACTTCCAAAGGCTAGGGTATGTAGTGTTAAAATGCATAAATAGAAAAGGGTAACTTATTTTTTTAATTTGTGAATGTGCCTGGCCTGGGCAGCTGAAGTCTTAATGGGGTGGTCCGTGTTTGTTTAAACATCTATCAACTATTTAAAATCCATATATTTAGTTTGCAACAAGTTTCCACTTTCAAGGTTTTGTTCAACAGGATTGAACCATTTTTGCTTCAGCAAACAAATTCTACAAATTTTCTATTTTTCTGTTGTATTTATTTTTCACAACATCACACAATATTTTCAGTTTTAACAGATTATTTAAGACGACCTTACACAACTGAGTGTTTGGAGGAAGTAGCACAGTTTCAGGGTGTTTCTGTTACCTTGTGAGTGTTTTCTTTACCAGCAGCAGTGTGAACGTTTGCACTTCCTCTATGGGTTTGACACCACCTCCCGGTCACTCAAACTGCTTCAGAACTCCTAAACAATTCTCTGTGAGAACTGAAGCTTTGTGCATCTTTCATGCTCTCTGAGCTTTATGTGCTCTTTGTCAAGCTACTTCCTGCTTTTGTGAGTCGTGTATTAAATTGTTCTCTGATTTATGTTTTTTTTTGTATTTTATTATTGGCAGAAAATAGAGAATCTGAAAGATACTACTTGTGTAAGTATGAGCTTGACACATTTTCCTTCCTGTTGTGTTTGGAAGTTGGTTCCTTGTTAATGGATTCCTGTTTTTCTCTTTCAGAGTATGGTAGAGTCCATTAAGCACTGTATCGTTCTGCTGCAAATTGCCAAGGTAAACACAAAATCCCTGCATGTGCGTTTCCTGTCTCCTGACTCTGCCATTTCATTTTAATCGTTGTCCTTGTGAGACAGATGGGTGTGCACTGAATGTTACGTCGGGTCTCTGGGGTAGTTCCCTGCTTACAGTTGCTATCTGGGTCGGTGGAGGATGAGGGTGTAGCCCAGTGCTCGTTTCATCACATGTTCCATTCAGCTGTCTGAAAGGAAGTGGAGCAATCCTTCCTACTTCATGTGGTTGCTAGGTGTGTTGTGTTGCCTTTTTAAAACCAGCTCCACATGTCCAAATTTTATGAAACGTAGAGGACTAAGGCTACTGCAATGCCAGCTGGTACTGCAGAAGGAATCCAGTCAAAATGACATCAGAGATCTTTGTGTATGTGATGAAAGGATCGCTGCATGTGGCGAGTTGGGGAATACGATGAAACTCCGTCTTAGGATGGATGCCACCGCAAAGGCTCACACAGGATGCTTTTTTAAATGACTTTTACACCCTCCCACACACGGAGTCTAACATTGTCTTCTTAAAATTTTAAGGACCAAAGTAACGAACAACAACACGCAAACGGACTTATAGTAAGTTTAAACACTTTCTGTCCATGACAAAAATTCAAATGAAAATTAAAAAACTGCTTACTTTCTCCTCTGGCATAACATATCCTTCTATCCTTTAGAAAAGATGGCATATCAGATCTTTAATGCATGCCGTGTAATTGAGCGATAAGCTCCACATCAAGCTCTTTCCCTCATGTCTGCCACTGCTATCTTCTTGATTAAGTCATTACTTTCCTGATTTAATCAGAGATTTGAACTCTCGTATAGCAATGGATGGGAACTATCCTTTCTTTCATGTAAACACGAAACCGGCATGTCATCTACACAGATTCAGACCCTAATGTATTCTGTTCAGTGACGAACAGCCTTTGTTTGCATGCCTGATGTGGAAGTTTTGCACATCACTTTTCTCCAGTTGATTCCTCTGCTCACACTGCCTGCTTATTTAACTGCTCAACACCAGTAGCATGAAAGCCATCCAGCACCTTTTAGGCCCTGCATGTGCGCTGCGTTCACATTAAAAGGCTGCGCGCATCAGGGTGCACGCTTTAGCCACCGCGTGTTTGTTCACCAGAAATGCGTTCCAAAGCGTTCAGCAGAGGCTTACAGGTGGATTTCTCATCTTGTGGGCAGATTTTTCTTTCAGTCCTATGAGCTAAATATAAGCCAGAATAGTAGAGGCGTGCTTCTGGTGGATAACCAGTTACAAACACGCCTGTCGCACGGCAGTGTTTATTGAACTGCAACACTCAGGTGTAAACAGAAACTTTGACCTATATGCAGCTCAGTTGTCAAATGATCTACTTTTAAGCACAACAGAGAGCCCAGCCTAAAGTAGATTTTTTTGGAAGTGTTCCTCATTTCTCCACAATCAGGTTCACTTCGCTGGTAGATCTCAGTTATTTGAGAAGGAAAAGTAATAATGTAATATCCGTCCTGCTGAATATTAAAGGAAAATAAAGAAACCTTTATGCATTTTTAATGCATATAGGTGTCACATTATCTCTGTAAATGTTGGGCGAGGGATAAGTAGGGCAGATACAAAATGGAAGAGACCAAATGGCATGGCAAGATGTCCATTTTCTGCCATGATCAGAATCTTGCAGCTAGCAGGAGAAAATCAATCTAAAGCCTCCCTGTATGCTTTGGTAATGTTACAGTTTTGTAGATAATGGTCGACCGCATGAAAAAAATGGAGTGCGGTTCCTGATGCTCGAACACGACGAAGACCAGACTGCTCCCTTATAATCTCATGGTCATTAAGTACAGTATTATGGAGTATAAATAGCACAGCATAAGCACTGTCGCTTGTTTTATGTGCCTTAAGCGTTCGGCTGAGGATGTCTGTGCGACTATAGGGCTTCCAGATGTGTGTCACTTTGCTTGCAGTTCTATAACATTCAGAAAATAACACGCACCACCTTTCCTTTAAACAAATAGCAGCCTGTCTGACCCTGCTAAGCCCAGCACTGCCCGCAGAATCGCCTCTAAGTGCATGAATCATCTGAATCAAGCTCAAAAGAAAGTGTAAATCAATATTTATCCATCCAAATCATATGTGCTCTCAGGTTGGTTTGGGGTACCTCCCTCCATTGTTAGAGCTCCTTGCCGTAGTAATTGCATCGCCATGGTTTTAGAAGCCTTTTGGAGCACTATCTTTTCTTTCTCCTTTCTCGCAAAGCCATGAAAGGCCACCATGAAAGACCAACATTAGCGGTTGGTTATAATTAGAAGCCCTCAACTTAATTTTTTTGAAGGCACATGGACGAGGCATTTAGCAGGGAATGAAGCAAAAGAGCAAATGCGGGAAGGACATAATAGCAGGGGGGGGAATGGACCGGAACCGCCCCACCGTTGGATAAAAAGAGATGTTTTTTTTCTCTTTCAAATGGCATTATTGGAAATATATCTATAAATTCTTTAGCGTGATGATGTGATAACCACATCATCACACAGCCCTTCTCATTCTCAGCCTTATCGCGGGAGACCATCGTCACAGTGACTCACTCAGCTTGTTCCCGTTAACGTTTGATCTCAGAATGTCCATGAAAAACAAGATGTAAAAGTGGCTCCGGTTTAAGTCATGGAATATGGCATCACACCATGATATGCCATTTCATTGCTCCAGAGCCCAGAGGGGTGAGCTGTTGGAGGTAAAGGGTCGATATGCTTTTGTTTTATGGCCCGTTGTGTTACAGTTTGGCTCTCTGTTGGCTTATCGATGGCAGTGACCCCATTAAACAGAGCAAAGGGGACACATAATAGGCAGACCAATGTGGAAATATCCAAACCAGTTCAAGGAGATATTTTCCAACCTCCAGCAGAGATGCATTTTTGTCCAGATAAGTAAAAAAAAACTGGAGGGTTGCTCAGATCTTTTCAGATGGGAGCTGTTCTGTTGGTTTTCCGGGTTTAACCAGCGTTGTGGCGTTTCTCATTGATCACATTAGTGAAAATCTGGTAGCACCGCTGTTTACATGATGTGAAGTGATAGGAAATCCATCTGCCCCGTGTGGGTCGGTCATCTCAGTTCACAGTTGTTATCGTTTATGTGTAACACCAAACTGATCGGACTCATGGTGGCTCTGAGGTTTAGGGAGCTGTTGTTTTAATTGTGGTTAACACGCAAGCACACGTGGCAAAAAACGAATAAAGGAAGCCTCTTTTATGTGAAATCATTGGCTAAATCTAGTAAGCAGGCAGTTGTTTGAGTGTGTGGTTCCCTCATGAGATGTCTGAGGTCCAGCCAGGCCTTCGTGGTCGCTGACGGCCGTGTCGTTTTGTTTTTCCTCGTCCAGAGCACCATCAACCCAGTGGATGGGATCTTCCAGCCACCCCTGGACACCCCTGTAGTTAACACCACAATGCCAACACAGACAACACTACCCACAGGTAGGGGGCCCGCCTAGCCCAGACGCTCTGCTGCCTCCCCCCGTTAGCGGGGCGCTGCCCGTGTGTCCGCCTCAGGGTCCAGTCCAGCATCGTCCACTGCACCGAGGGGGACACAGCTCCCCCTGTTGTCCAGATAAAGAACTGTAGCACAAGTAGTTCAGAGATCATTTTCTGTGACGCTTTTGTGCGTTTGTTGCCGTCTAATCTGCATGAATATCACATTCAGTGAGTCGCAGTTCATAGTTATTTAAACATGGACTGAAACTGGCAGAACTCAAAGTGAAAAAGCATAAATGCCCCATTTCAAAACCAATACGCTTAGAAGGTGGGGTCAGAGAAGCCAAGCCCATGGGACAGATTTAAGGACAGCCCACCCCTTTTTGTCATGAGGCAGAAATGCAGGAAGTCATTGAAAAATCAAAAGAAGACATGGGAAACAAAGTAAGTACATTCAGGAGGGAAATAAGAATCACAAAAGAAAAAATATGAAAAAAGATAGTCAGAATAATTAAGGTTAAAAAAGAATAAATAAATGTTGATAATAAAGAAAGAAAACTTTAAAGTCAAATCATAAAATGTAGAAAATAAATGGAATATTTGAAAAAACATATAATTTTATTTGGAAATTAAAGCAGAAATATGAGATTCTCTTTTTTTAATGAATTGGTAGATTGTAAGATGTCGATTTATTTTTAATTTATTTTATTTCATTTTTAATTCTGTCAGCTTCAGTCCTCGATTCTAAAGAGAAAACAAAAGAAAAATCCAGTTGTTCCATGACCATATCAAATATGCATATGTGATTCATGAGTTATTTACTGCTCAGAAGTAAATGTAATGTGTGACTATGAAAAAACACAAAAGACCAGAACATGAGCTGTTCTGTCTTGTGTTGTATTTTCAGACTTAATTCTGGTATTACTCTGTTCTAAAAAATATTTCTATTTTGTTCAGATGACTCTAACTAACTTGGAGGAGTAGATTTTTTTTTTTTTAAACCTGTGAAATTACCACAGCAGAGTAGGCCGTTCTAATCCCGGTGCCACACTAAAGTGTCTAATCCCCCTTTTTTGGCTGAGTGTCTCAGTGTGTGGCGTCATTTGGGGGAAGATGCTGCCTGTGCTTTCCTCTGGTTTCATCTTGATGCTTCAGTTGTCGGCTCATCTCTCTTCTTTTTATTAAAGACGCTTCTCAGGTGTGTAAATCAGACCAACGACCATCCACGCTACCTGTTGGTCCTGTTGTCACGGTGATGGGAAGTCTGCAGACCCCGACTCCCAACAGCACAGGTAAAAGCGCTGTCTTAACCTTAAAAGTGTCATTTTATTATTTGTGGGTTTGGAACATCCTTTCTTGAGCTAATGGAGTACATTTTATTAAATGCATTTGGAAAAAATCTAATCTGTGATCCATCTTTATTAGCAATTTTCATCTTTGCTGAATGGATCAGACTTCCTTTGTTTTAAGAAAAGTATCAGTTAACTTTGTGGAAAAACTCTGTGGCAATGTGAAGAGTTCTGCTAGATTCCTAAGCAATCCTGACAAAGAAAGAAGTGGATATCTCCGTTAGGGCTCTGAGGGAACTGCAAAAGCCAAAAAAAAGCTTAAACACAAATAATTGATTCTTAATTTTACACTCTAGAGTTGGGATGGTAGTTTTTGTGGAGCTCTCCGCTGTCGTTCATCGTTCTGTTTGAAGGATAAGCAGCTTTGCTGAGCAGTCATATACAATTACTGAGATCATAACTACTACAGATGTGTGCAAATATGAGGACGTTGTTTTTACTGCTGCTTCTAGCTTCTATTGTAACTATTGTACAGAGGTTTTTCATATTGTGATGATGAGTAGAAATATACGAATGACCCAGAATAAACTTGGATCACTGATTTATCAATTGGGGAATTCCTTCATTTAAAAAGAACAACTGTTATTTTAATGGTTGGTTCAAGCATGTGATGGCATTCCTCAATATTTTCTGAACTTTTACTAATGGAGACAATAAAATAATGATGAAATGTTAATACTCCATCACTTCTGTAACATGTCAAACTGTGTGGGGAAAAAAACGTCTCTTTTATAGTTTGTATTAGTTGTTTTCCTTTGGTAACAGAGCAATTTGAGTAGAAATTGCTGTGTTTTACATTTCAATCTTCATGTTCCTCCACCATCTTGTTGTGTGTGTATGAAAACAATGCACACTAAAATGGGTCACCAAGAAACCACTTTTTGACTTACTTAGAGAACGATTACTGGATTTATTTAACCTCGGGATTATTATTTACCTTTTGATACAACTTCAGCTGAGGCTTAAATGCTCAGCCACATATCGTTGTACCTCTTGGTCAGTGAGCATTAAACAAATTAAAGAGGAATGGAAAAGCAGAGGCTGCTGCCTGTTTGTGCTGAGGCAGCAGAATGAAAGCGCTGTGCTGTCAGAAAGCTGCCTGCTTGCTCTGGAGTGCAGAGGCAGTGGCTCAAGACGGCACAGCCTGAAAAACACGCTGCTAATTCCCCTCCATCAGCCGTCCTGTAACACGGCGGGGCTCCCTCCAGACGGACTCACCTTGTTTTTCCCCCGGCAGGGAGTGGCCCGTCCGGCCCCAGCAGCGGCCTGGCCTCCCCCGCCCACATCCCCCTGCCCTCACACTCAGTGCCAGACTTCTCCTACTCCTCCAGCGAGGACGAGTTTTACGACGCCGACGAGTTTTACCAGAGCAGCACTTCCCCCAAACACTGCAAAGAGTGAGTCTATTATCTCCCCATCTTCTCCATTTGCTTTTTACCTTGAAAGCAACAGCGTCATTATGGAGCACAGCGTCTCAGGTGGGGAAATTTTGCTGAGAGTGCATGAAAATCCAGCCGTGTAAGCAGCTCTGGTCGGAGGAGCTTGCTTCTAAATTGCCAGTGAACTTGTACTTAGCCACCTGATCCCCCCCTGCCTGCTGTTTCCTTGTTAACACCTCGGTTTCCCTCTCTCCCTCCCAGTCCCTCGGGGCCCCCTGCTGCCTCGCCCAATGCTAATGATGGGACCGCATTGAAACGGCCCAACACCACCGAGTCTCTCAACTCCTCCATGTCCAACGGAACCACAGATGCAGGTACACACTTCACAAACCCACAAGCTGTAGCATCCGTTAGAGCCGATGCTGCTCCAAACCTTTTAGAAGTGGAATCGGAAGACAGTGGAGGAAGGGTTTGCTTTTAGGGCATGATGTAGTCAGGACAGTGTAACAAAGACCTCCCACCACCGGTTAGGTTTTGAATGAGGAAAAGGCAGAGAGCCAGACATATGAGAGCTGTGCTCTTCGTCTGTCCTCAGATCCGTTTGATAGCCACGATGACCGCGACGATGACGGCGAGGGGGAGTCTGTGGAAGAGCACAAAAGCGTCATCATGCATCTGCTCTCTCAAGTCCGTCTGGGCATGGACCTCACAAAGGTAGGAGCAGCTCAGCTCCCTCGGCCTGGCTGCTGCCCCCGGTCTCTCAATGCCGTTTGTCCCTGCTTTTGATTGACAGGTGGTCCTGCCCACCTTCATCCTTGAGAGGAGGTCTTTATTAGAAATGTACGCAGACTTTTTTGCGCATCCTGACTTATTTGTAAGGTAGGTGTCACCTCCAGCAGCCACTGCCCCTCAGCTCCTCCAGGGCAATGGGAAGACCCCGTTTAACCAGACTTGCTTTCTGTTTTTCTGCAGCATCGCTGAGCAGCCGGAGCCCAGAGAGAGGATGGTTCACGTGGTAAAGTGGTACCTGTCAGCCTTCCATGCAGGGAGGAAAGGCTCAGTGGCCAAGAAACCGTACAACCCCATCCTGGGGGAAGTCTTCTACTGCCATTGGGATCTCCCCATCGACATTGAAGAACCCTCTCAACCCGTGGTGAGCCAATCTGCTTTAGCTTTTCTTTGCCATTGTAAACTTTAGGTTGACCTCAGTTCCTTTGCCAAATGAAATTTCATGAAAAACTTCTGCATTAAATTCAAATACATTATCACGTATGGAAGTAAAAATACCCTGTTTTAATTTATTGAATATATAATTATGAACTTCTAATGATTTTGAATAAAATAGAAGAATGCATCTATAGATAATGTTACTTTATGTCTGAGGAACTGAGAGTGTAAGGAAATGAATGATTAGAGGGCTGGACTGACTAAGCTCCCAGTTGCCTTTGATGGATGGAGTTAATGAGTTTTTGCAAGAACACAAAGAACCAAACAGAAGGAACATCATTAAAAATCTAATTAAACTGCCTTTCAAGTCACCTTTACATATGAAAAACTAAATCTAAAATCTTAATGATAGTTCAAGGAAAGCTATGAGCAAGAGTGGTGAATAAACTGAAACAGTTCAAAGTGAAACCAATGTCAGTATTTTAGTAATAGCAAATGATCTGAAAACTTTTGGAAAATTGTTTAATTGACATTTTTGTGATGGAATATCTTTGACATGTCTGCACCTATAATTCATGTTTAGTCCAAGATGATTTATATTTAGCACATAAGCTTTGATAATCTGACCAAAATAAATTCTGAACCTTTCTCTTTACTAGCTATGTGATATGCTTTTTTAATTAAGAATGTATTTATTTTTTTACTCCCTGCTATCATCTGCTCTGGTGTACCCTGCAGGAGACTTCATCAGACGGTCCGGTTCCCTGGTCTTCATCCAACAGCGTGCGTTTTGTGGCAGAGCAGGTCTCTCACCACCCACCCAGTGAGTCTCAGCTTTTTCTCTTTGAACCAGTAGGATCCAACACTTTCAAAGATTAAAAAAAACAAACATAAAAATCAAATTATTCAGCATTCCTCACTGTTTGTCTCTCTCTTGTTTGTAGTTTCTGCATTCTATGCAGAGTGTTTAAGTAAGAAGATCCAGTTCAATGCCCACATCTGGACTAAGTCTAAGTTTCTTGGAATGTCCATCGGTGTCCATAACATTGGTCAAGGTAAGTCCAACACTTCCTTAAAGTTCCTAAAACATGCCTTGTCCACTGTTGTTACAGCTGATTACGTGTGATCCCTCCAGGCTGCGTGTCCTGTTTGGAGCATGATGAACACTACATTCTCACCTTCCCCAATGGATACGGCAGGTATGTGTTCCCAAACGAGCCGCTGTGGGACTGTGTGTCCGCCCGTCTGACCCCAGCCTGCCCTCTCAGGTCCATTCTGACGGTGCCGTGGGTGGAGCTGGGCGGCGAGTGCAACATCTCCTGCTCCAAGTCCGGTTACAGCGCCAACATCGTGTTCCACACCAAACCCTTCTACGGCGGGAAGAAGCACCGAGTCACCGCGGAAATTTTGTAAGATGGCTTTGGATGCACACTTCTAAACTGCAGCTCAAGCAATCAACCTTTCATCTGAAAAGTAGCATCATGTTTTCCTTTTTCTTTGTCCCGCAGCCCACCGAATGACAAGAAGTCGTTCTGCTCCATTGAAGGAGAATGGAACGGAGTGATGTACGCCAAGTGGGCGACCGGAGTAAGGCCCTCATTTCTTTTAATGGAGTTTTGATTTTTTTAAGCACAATCTTGAAAACTTTACAAAAATGTTCAGCATACTTGCTTACTGATCTGTGGTCCTCTACTGAGTAATGGCTTTCATCTCTAATAGGGGGATGAATTAATACTACCATCATTTTCTTTCATTTTAGGAGAACACGGTGTTTATAGATACAAAGAGAATTGGCATTATTAAGAAGAAAGTGAGGAAACTGGAGGACCAGCTGGACTATGAGTCACGAAGGTGGGAAGAAAACCAGCTAACTGCATTCAGGGCCTTCCAAAATATCTTTCTTTAGAACTAATCTTTGTCCTTGGTGCCTTTGTCAGGTTATGGCGAGATGTGACACTTAACCTGAAGCTAAAAGACATCGATGCAGCAACGGACGCCAAACACCGGTTGGAGGAGAAACAAAGAGCCGAAGCCAGAGAGCGGAAAGAGCAGGAGCAGCAGTGGGAGACTAGGGTGAGAGTTTCTGCCTTTCTTTTCCAGGAGACCAGCCAGAATATGACTTTTGGAAGAGTTAGTCCACACAAATGCTAAAATACTGCAATAGTTCTCAACCACAGCTCATGTCATCTACTTGTAGTCATGCATTTCTCTAATTCTGCTGTGCTCAGATGGAAACATGCATGTCTGATATGTACACTATGAACTGTTTTCCACTCAGTCTAGAGCAGAGGTTTTACCGGTCCAGTGCAGTAGACAGGGGACATGGAGTTATAAATGTCAGGAACAGTTAAAGATGAGATTTCTTATTTTGAAGTAAACGAGTGCAATCATGGTTATTTCATGTGTTTCTGTAGCTGTTCCATGAGGACGGGGAGTGTTGGGTCTACGATGAGCCGCTACTAAAGAGATTAGTCTCTCAGAGGCACTGAGGAGACCACGCCACACCGATAAACATGCATACAAATGAATAAAGAAATGCACACCCAAGAGTCTTCATAAGAACTCTTTTGCAAAAACCACTTCTTATCCAAGCCTTGGAATGACTGATGATTGAATATGTTCACTGCTTTGCATTTGACTGTAAAACATTATGGAAATGAATGAAAACATCAAAGATGTAACATTAGTAGAGCTCCTCTCCTTATGTGGACAATCTCTCCTCCACCACCACCTATACCGGCCACCTGCCAACGGACTCTTCAGCACAGAGCGGACGCCACAGTGGACGCTCCTCGTCTCCCGGCTCACCACCTCAACACCTCTACGAGACCACCCAGAGCAGCACTCCTTTCCCTGCATACATATCTGGTTCTCTTTTTTTTCCTTCCTTCCTTGTTTTTCTTCAGGGGGGCCAAGAGATCTGTAGTTGATGGTGTTCAGCTCAAGTAAAGCTTGACAAGTAAAACAGCTCTCTACATCTCAGGGAATCTTGTGACTGAGGAAAGAAAGCTGCTGCCCCCTTTCAAGAGTCTGACAGCCTTATAACAGTGGAGCGTATGGATCTTAATGGGGCGGGAGAGATGTTCTCTGCTTGCCTGCTATAAGTTATAACTGATGTTTATATATAGATATACATATGATGGATATATAAATATATATTCTTCTTATTTTCATTGCTTAATTTTTTTTTGTTTTTCTTTCTGGCAATAGTGTAAAATATTGGAGGATTATGAACTTGACTGATGGCTTTACATCATTAGGAATCATTCCATTTAGTTTGTGTTTTGTTCCCATTTCTAACGTTTTGCCCTACGCAAGCCATGACGGTAAAACACCCCGACCGGGAGATGAGATAGATTTAAAGAATATATGCAATTCAGATCAAAATTGAAATGTCAACGAAGCCAAAAAGGTTTAGAGAAAAGGCTAAAGGGACTGTGATCTGGTCAAAGCATTCTCTGATGAGGTTCTGGTGTTACCTGAACGCATTTATGAACAAAATGATTGTTTACAAGTGTTTGTGTTTCTGCACAGCTATAACTGAGTCTGTAAAGTCTCCCTCGTGCTCTGCACACCACCTGTCTTTGTTTCTCCTGGTGTCGGTGGATCTTCTCATGAGAAACCAGAGCAGACCTTTTTGACACAGCGGCATTGCATACTTTGTTCTACTTGTTTGGTCCTTTTGTAGATTTTTAACATTTTTTTCCATGGTTAAGAACCACATGGAGGGCAATGTCTATCCTGCTGTTCACCTGCTTAGTTTGGGTCTAAATGCAATGGAATTTGAATAGTCCGTGGAGAAAATAAAAAAAAACACCAGTTTAGTGGAAAGGGGTAGACTATAGTAAGTGCAAACCAGACCCTCCTTTTTTGTGTTAAAGATTTTATTATTCCTTCATTGGTGATCACGTTAAGTATGCTAAATAAATGATGAAAACATTTTAAACGATTTAATCTGGTGAAGGGATCTTGCGAAGATATACATTCTGCTGGTGCTGTATTTAAAGATAGTCAAATAATTGTTATAATTCCCAGCTGATTAGTCCCACAAAAGCAAACAAAAATGCCTTTGGATGTTTGCCAATTGAAACATAATTTATAACTCAAAATGTGGCTTTGATTTTCTTCTTTTTTCCCCTCGTTATGTTTTTGTATAACCTACTGAATAGAGGCCTTGCCATTCATTTCAGTATTGCCTGGTAGAGAGCAATCATAACAAATGTATTTTTTATTTCCTTCTCATCTTAACCATTGATTGTATCCAATTCTCCTGTTTATTGATGCATAATATTAAATCTTCATGAGTTGATTACTGCGAGATTTGATTATGGTTCTTACAGATGGACATCTCACTAAAAAAGTTTTACAAAAACAATTTTTCACTTTTCTAAGCCCTTAGAACAGTAATTAAGAAAGAAATAGGATTTGGTCAACAGGGCATCAAACAGCCTCTGATGCTCGACCGCTCAACCTGAAGAAAATAATAATAATTTAGGGTTTCATTTTACATCGTAGTGTTCAGATTTTCAATTTTTTCTTTTTTTTATGAGAAAAAACACCGGAAGTTTATTTGCGTCACTTCCTCCGCTTCGGGTTGAAAAGCTTGGCTTGTCCAGTAGGGGCGCACTTAAACATATGGGGGGGGGGGGGGTGGTTTACTGCTACTTTTTTCCCATCATCTTTTGCGGTCATCTGTATAAAAACGCCTTGCTCCCGATTCACTGTCTCATTCCTCCACTGTCTGCTTGGTAAGTTCGAATGGGACAGGAAATACACTATTAGTTTGTTTTTTTTCTCGAATTTGCTGAGTGTATCCTCAGTGTTATGTTCTTTGTAATGCTCAGTATAAATTTTATTCGTAACTAGAGAGTTGTGTTTTATGGGCAGCAGGGCTTAAGCTAGCAGGCCTCGGCCACGTGCCCCTGCTAGCGCGCAGCCGCATTGCTACCTGACCTTGTTCTAAATATTTATTCTGGCTTTATAACACTAGTTGAAACCGTGGCTAAATGATGAATTGAATGTTGGTAGGGACATCTGAATTAATGTGAAGAAACGCCAACAATTCTGACTCCACGGAATGTAGCCAGAGCGGGAAGCTCGTGTTAGCTGCGCGTGCAGGCAGCTGAGGGAAGTTTAAGGGCTTTCTGCAGAAAACCACTAATTCGAGGCTTAAGATCAATATTGTCATTTTTCTGATTGTAGAACCTCAGATGGAAGGCTCCGCGATGGAAGGGGAAATGGCATGGTGAGTGTCAATGTTTTCATAGCTTTTTTAAAAATGTAAATGGTAATCAATATTGCATTATTTCATGAATGCAAATTAGATGTGCTCTTTTGATGCATTAGAGACTAAGTTGTCTAGTTTAAACCAAATCCTTGTAGATGGAATGTCTGGAGGCAAAGTGTGGTTCAGCAACAATACTGTTGAGCTACTTGCCTACCACTACTTTTCTCTGGAAAGATGCAGCATTTTAGAATATGTCTGCTCTTTGTACGTTATTCGTACCTCTTCAGTTTCCATCAATCTGTGGCTTTATTTGACAGTGTCAAACTTGGAGCTACTTCCAGGCTTTACATGAATCAGAGGAATGTGTGTGAAGGCGTGCAAAATAGCAAATTAGGCTTTTATACATGAACAAATTAAACAATATTAATCAAATGCCCACTATTGTCAAAGGCAAGGAACTAGCTAGAACTCTGCAGAAGGAACTGTTGACAAATTAAGTACCGTTTTTGCTTTATTTAATTATCCAATGCTTTGCTTTTTATTCATGTAGGCCCACAATATGGCTACCTGCAGCACCAAAATGACCCCCCCCCAGGTAAGTCTCTCTGGTTTATGTATGCAGCTTCTGTGTGGAAGTCTGTGATGATTCAAGAGTAAGAGTAGTGGACAGAATTGGTTTCTGAATAATTTCTCACTGAGACTTCTCCAAATTTAAATGATTGCTCTTGAAGGGTCTTTGTGGTGCTAACTGGTCTGTATCCACAGGTGTAAGAACAATCCAGAGACCTGGAGGGGCTTTGAAATGGAGGTACGCCTTTGAGTTTTGCCTTGATGACAGACATGTTTGTGCATTTCTGAAGCGTTTAATGTGGTTAGTTTTCTTGGTCAAAGCTGGGACTTGTGCCTATAATGTAGGGGTGAAATTCATAGTATTGGTGAGACTAAATAACCAGACTGTGGCTCTACGCCTGGTCTGGACAGATCATGTTTGCAAGGCTGTCCTTTTGCCCACATTCGACCCTTCAGGGTGCATAAATCTGCCTCGGTGCTTTTTCCTGTGCTAAAGTGATGACAATTATTTGCTACTCTCGACTAAATGGATGACGATGCTTCCAACCACCAAGTTGACCCGTCTGAGGCACTGCTGGGCTAATGGCTGTGTGATGGTCAGGAGGCCCTTTGACTGACCTCTGTGTTCTCACAGGTGCTGACCACCTCCTCCTCACAGACACCCCCGCACCCTGACACCCGGTAAGGATCCGGGCGTTATGCCTGAGGCTACTGAAGGCTGTGAATGATGACTTTGTTTTGAAAACATTGGGAATCTCTCTGAAAAAAGTGAAAGACGACTTTGTTTCTGATGCAGTGGCGTTTAGCTGAGTGCGTGGCCTGGTTTTAGGGCTGTGGGTCATGTGTGTGTCTGTCTCATGCAGGTGGGGGTGCTGATGCCTGTGGAGCCTCTGCAGCCCTCCTGTCCTACAGGTGAGTTTTGTGTGTGTGGAAGGCTCCGTCCTACCGGCCGATGCAGTGATGAGTGCATAGTTCAGCTGACATCTGTGACGAAGAAAAGTGTCTTTCGCTCCTAACTGAGGCATCGAGCTCAGGCCCCTGCAGGCCGCTCCAGGACTGAGAGGATTCTTAGTTTTGTTTTTTGTCTTGTTTTCCAGAGGCTGTGGCTGTCAGGAGGCTGTTAAAGGTGAGCTCAGAGGAGGTGTGTGTGTGGTCTGTGTGTGCGCCTGATACCATGATGAGTGCATAGTTCAACAGATGAACACTGAAGAATTTATATCGTCTTTCGCTCCTATCTGACGTATCAATGCAGCTGTCCTGCTAGTGTCTTAAAGAAAACCCAGTGCTGACAGGGTCTCTCTTCCAGACAGGGACCGGACCAGAACCTGCCCCTGGTCTTGCCAGACTGAACCCGTCCTAACACAGAACCGGTAAGCACTATGTAGATTAGCTCTGCAGCACAGCCACTCAGACATGATGAATGTGAATCAGGTCTCTGATCTAGTTGAGGAAATTACAACTCCTACTCTGATCTGGATTTATTCTTTATTTCTTGGAGAATTTGGATGCACTGCTCCAATTGATTTAGCTTTTTCTTAATTCCTGCAGAGATCGTTGGGTTGTGGCTGTCCACATCAGATGAAGGCGAACATGGTGAGTAAGAGCCGGCCCCTCAGACCAGGACACGGCTCCAGACCCGGCCTGTGCCCGGTGAGGAGCCGTGTCCTGGTCAGAACTGACCCTTTAGCCTGGCCTGTGTGATGACGAAGCTCAGACTGACTGTAAAGTGAAGTTGTATTAGCTCTAGCTGACCTGGTCAGAGCGGGTGCTCTGCCCGGCTGCTGCTGAGCTGCTTTGACTGAAGCTTTTTATCTCCTCAGGCCGCCTCCAGGACCACGTCCAGCAGGAGTCCAGCCCAGGTGAGGAACTTTCCCTGGGTGCTTGCTTTTGAAAGTGGATTCAGTGATGTTCTAACAAATGTCTGACCTGAACTACATTGTGGACAAACGTGTTTCTGAGTATCCAGTAAATGGATTAATCATTCTGCCGGTTACAGACCTGTAATAAGAGTTTGTTCTCTTTCTAGGAGGCGTCCACTTCTTGAGCAGGTAAATGTCTTTCCACATCTTCATGATGAATAAACCTGACCATTCTACCAGTGATGAAAAGATTCTGCCAAATGACTGTCAGTGATATTAACCCTTACCGTTCCATTTTGTCTGAGGTCCAGTGGTCAGTGGTGTGGCCTCTCCTCTGCCTTTGGTTTCTCCTTCATTGAAATGTTTTCCTTTCTGCACACAGGTCTGAAGACTGAACAGAACACTGGAGGTCCTCCCTGTTGGATGTCAAGTCCGAGTTGCTGTTGTAACTCCTGCTCCTACAGTTTGATGTAGTTAAAGGAGGTGACTGTGTAAAATGTGTGTAACATGGTAATAAAGCCTTTCAACATTAATTGTGGTTGGTGTCTGTCTCTGAAGAGGTTGTAAAACATCTGATATCAAATCTGGTCATTGAGTGTGTGCTCAGTGAACGTAGAAGAAACGGTTTGCATGGAGGCCTAAATCTCAGTGCTGCCCTCTAGAGGTAGCAGCAGGGAGTCTGACTACCTTCATCCAGTCAGCACTAGAACATTCAATATGCAAGAATAAAAAGAGTCAAATGCAAAGTGAACGGCACTTTTCTGGATCATTTCCAGTCCCCGGGCCTTCGTTTACGGATCAGGAAGGGAGCTCCGCCTCCATTATTCAAGGTTTTTCTTATTATGCCGCCAGGTTTCGTCACATTGACGGTTGGTTCACATGCAGCTTTTAAAATGAACCTAAACGGGACTGACTACCCGCCTCGCTGGGCGGAGCTAATCGGCGCTGGGTGAAGAAATGTAGCGCTTCTTGACTGTAATTTACAGCCAGGTCGGGGGTGGAGACAAGAGCCCCCCCCCCCCCCCCCCCCCCCCCCAACCCCCCGGGGGGGCCGGACATAAAGCGGGGGGGACCGAGCGGTGGCCGGGCGTCCTGCAGTCTTCTCCCCGGGCCCTGCACTCCTCTCCCGGGCCCCGCCGTCTTCTTCTTCTTCTCGGGCCCGTAACGTCGTCTGCTCCGATGCTCGCGCGCTGGCTGCTCGCGCGGTGGCTGCTGCCGCTGCTGTGCGCGCGCTCCGCAGACGCGGACTTCTTCCAGCTGGACACCATCAGCAACGTCTCCACTTACTACTTCAACTACATCTACTGCAACATCTGGGAGGGGGAGTGCCAGCCCCACCAGGACGACGCCTCTCAGCAGGGTAAGACCAGCGGGGTAGGACCGGAGCCTGAGCCGGGGCTGCCCGCCGGGCTCCGGGGCTCCTGGCCCCGCTGTTTAGCTCTGAATCCCGGCTGTACTGACACTGACTGAGCCGGTGTTTTCTTCTTGCTGTTTCCAGTACCGAGCAGGGACCTGTGGGCCGGGTTTCCCCAGGACTACCTCAGCCTGCTGCACCAGTGGTACTGCGGCCTGGGCCAGTGCTGCGAGTCCGGAGACTGCAGGGTCCCCAACCCCCCCGGGGGCCCCCCCCCCCCCCCTCCAGGGCCTGATACATCCTCCTGTCCAGGGCCTGATCTGTCCCCCCTCCAGGACCTGATCTGTCCCACCTGTCCAGGGTTTTTTTGTGTCCAGTCTTCCTGCAGCCGTCACCACAGAAAGCAGAGCAGCAATAATGTCAATATCCCCCCTTTTTTTTTTTTTTTTTTTAGATAAGATGTACATCTTTCCAGCATCATTAATGTGATTTTGTCTAATCTATACTTATAGTTACCGGTATCAGTGCTTTTTTGCTTTGAAGAACCATTTGAGACCTTTTTACTGTTAAATTCACCTTATAGCCAAGTCAGAAGGACCTTTTCATTTTATTAGAGCTGAAAAAATAGTAGCAATAACACTCTTAAAGACTCCACTTTCACTATCAGAATAGGATAAGAGTAATTTTCCAGTAACTAAAATTGAAATATCTGGAAACTTGATGTATGTTTCTGAAATAGTTAATGTTTCATTGTGATTGTTAGTTGATAGAAATGATGCCAGGTGGATGTGACAGATGACAGATGAGGCCTTTTTAAGGAACTGAGTGTGACCAGAGTCCTCTGCTCCTCTGTTCAGGACTGGCCCAGGACCTCCAGACCAAGCTCCACGGCCAGCACCTGGCTCAGTCTGTGGTTCTTAAAGCCATCCAGGGTTTCATCAACAATCCCGAGTCCAACAAGCCGCTGACCCTCTCCTTCCACGGCTGGTCCGGGACCGGCAAGAACTTCGTGGCCCGGATCATCGCCGATAACCTCTACCGGGACGGGGTGAAGAGCGAGTGCGTCCGGCTGTTCATCGCCCCGTTCCACTTCCCTCACGCCCGCCTGGTGGACACGTACAAGGTGAGCCCCCCCCCCCTCCGCTGGCAGGGAGTCCGGGGCGGGTGCCAGGAGCGTGGTGGACGTGTGCACGCGGCTCCCCGCCCAGTCAGATGTTTAGTCTGCGTTTTGAAATTTCAGCAGACAGACGATAACGGTCACGATTTCCACAGATGCTTCAGATCAAATATTGGCACTACGACACGAGCACGGACGTATGTGGAGTTTTGGAACTTGACGTCTGTCCAGCTGGACCTCATGTGACAGTGTGGTCCCCGTATTTTTACACAATCGCTTAATTCTGTTTGAAAATGCTGTTGACTTAGTCATTTAGTATCAAATGAGGGCCACAGTTCACGGGATGACCTTCGACCTGATGCCCGCACTGTGGGCCTTGATGGGTCTTGTACAGAAATAATTAAAGATTAAGAAACCCATCAAATTCCTCTCATGACTAAATTAGAGTGAACTTTTTGGATTCAACGGGATGTGAAAATACCAATGAAAATACCCTTTCCTTTCTCTTAATACAAGTTCGATTCTTTATTCATTCATTGCTCAAACTCAGTTTCCATCTAAATATTTCAACACAGAGGTGGATGCTTTAATTGTGAGCCTGATTTCTACCAAAGCAAATCTGAAACCAGAAGCATATAAAGACTCTTTTGCAGATCTGAGGGCTACAGCCTTTTCAAAGCGTGCTCTTCCTCCTGTGTCCAGAGCCAGCTGAGAGAGGCCATCAGAGACATGGTCCTGCGCTGCCCGCAGACGCTCTTCATCTTCGACGAAGCTGAGAAGCTCCATCCGGGGCTCATCGACGCGATCAAGCCCTTCATGGATCACTATGACAACGTGGATGGAGTCAGCTACCGCAGGGCCATCTTCCTCTTCCTCAGGTCGGTGGGTTTTTCTCAGGCTCGTCCTGTCTGATGAGGCTCCATGCTCACTGTCCCTGACCACATATTCAATTCTGGGTGCTGAATGACGGCCCCCCCTCTGTCTCTGTCACACCTTTTTATGGATTTCTCATGAATTAAATGACTTTTCCTGAAGAATATTCTGCACAGTCCAGGCTACGAGAGTGTTTCTTAGTGCTCTTTATACTCTACACAAAACCTATATGGTTACGTAAGCAGTGTGTAAAGTAATTAGCTAATTAGCTAAAACCACATTTTTTGGTGTGCATGATTTAGGACTTTTCTCAGCAAAATTTATATATATTAAAAATCAAGAAAGAAAAATCAGTCCTTGTAAAATCATTAAAAGTGTAAATATGCTAAGAATCACATCTCTGAACTGAAGTGATCCTTAACCAAAATTAGAAAAATACAGGCATTAAAAACTACATCCATTTATAGTCAATTATTTCAGTTTTTTTCCATGAAAAAACTTACATAAGTGTTTAAAAAAAATGGAATACAAACGTTGGAAACATCAGAATTCAGACTGAACTTAAATACAGTTTAGATAAAAATTGTGGTTGGATGAGCAACCGTTTCATTTTGAAATTTAATAAAATAAAACTGATTCCCTTCTGTTACATATATCCTTAAGGGCAATCTATAAAAATGACCTTCAGCCCCCCCTTTTAGAGTTGACCAACTCCAGAGACATTTAACCTTTCTTGTTTGGCTGCAGTAATATTGGCGGGGCGACCATTAACGATGTGGCGCTGGACTTCTGGCACTCGGGGCAGAATCGAGAGGACGTGGGGATGGAGGACCTGGAGCATCGGCTGAGAGCTGAAACCATGGAGTCCCAAGGTAGGTCTGCTCTTCCTGTGGATTTGTCTTCTATTTCTTGTTATTTTTCTATTTCTTTATCATTTTTTTAATCAGCTTTTACTTCTAATGAAACAACACAGTGTCTAAATAATCTATTCAAACCAGAAACAAGGCAAGGCAAGTTTATTTGTACTGCACATTTTGTGTACAAGACAATTCAAAGTGCTTCACAGAGAATTTAAAAGCAGAAAAATAATAAAAATTAGACGGATGAAAAGTGGCTTTTAAGTGGATTTAAACATTGTCAGAGTTGAGGCCTTTCTCACATCTTCAGGAAGACTGTTAAAGATTTTAGGAGCATGGAGCTTAAATGAAGCTTCACCTAGTTTAGTTTTGACTCCGGGCCCCAGCAGTCCCTTTAATGGTTGTCTGATGGTCTCAGGTGGGTTTGCTCAGAGCGAGCTGATGTCTGGGCATCTGATCGACTTCTTCGTGCCGTTCCTGCCTCTGGAGTACCGGCACGTCAAGCTCTGCGCACGGGACGCCTACGCCGCCCGCGGGCTGGAGACGGACGAGGCCACGCTGGACGAGGTGGCCAAGGCCATGCTGTACGTCCCCAAAGAGGAGCGGCTGTTCTCCGCCCAGGGCTGCAAGTCCATCCCCCAGAGGATCAACTTCTTCCTCCCCTAGACTGAGCGGGGCAGAGGGAGGTGTTAGATTGCTTTACCGGCCCGTCAGAGCCGCTCAGTGCCCCCCCCCCCCCCCCCCCCCCCCCCCCCCCCCCCCTCCCCACAGCTACAGCACGTGTCTGTCCAGGAGGCTGCCGGACAGGTCCAGGAGCAGCGGGGAGGGCAGAGATCCGCAGAAGGCCGGTGAGAGGAGCGTTTCTCCTTCTACCGCCGGCCGCCAGGCCCACACGGCGAGGAGGAAGACCACGGTGACTTTGCAACGTCTGTCACAGAGGCGTTCTTATTTGTCACGCTATTTATACATGTTCACCTCATTAAAACCATGGATAGCTGTTTTTAGGTTTGTGTCTGAGAACGTGTGGTAGACAATGTGCTGAACTGATTATTTATTCACATGATTTTTCACCGTGCCAATTTGTATGTGTTGAATTGTTTAAATGGTTTTATTAGCTGTTAACTGGTTCTGTTGGAACAGCATCTTGCAGTTCATTTAGATATTCTGACCCTACTTAAATGCAGTAAACCTTTAATTATAGAATTACATTCGTGCTCGGTACACGTCGGTTGGTTTACACCAAACTACAGTGTCAGTTAAGTTTTTATCTCATCCAAAAGTACTTTTTTGTCAATGTGTCTTTCAGCGTTCAGTTCAATTTAAACTGTGAGATGTGAAAACAGCCAACAAGCAACAGCTAACGGTGATGGAAATGTTGTTTTGTAATGTAAGGAACAGGTGTGTTACAAGAAAGTATTCCATTCAAGTAAAGTTATTGTCCCTCTTTCTAACCCTTTTTAAACACTTTCTGTTTTGTAGTAACAGTTTTAAATGGTTAATGTGCTTTGAATTTCAACACTCACTCTCACACAGGTCCACTTTGAGGATTTTGTTCTTTAACGCAGAGGTTTATGTATCAGTTACTATTGGAGGGGGCAAGCAAGGTACACCTTATTAAAGAATGAATGAAAACCATGTAAACTGATTACAGTTCATTAGTTCATTCCCCCCCCCCCAAAACAAAAAAAGTCCAGTTTCACATCAGTTTTAAAATCAGACAATTTCCAGGTACTATAAAAAAGACTAAAGAGCATTTTACAACGTGCTTTTTAAGGCTTTTTTATGTGGTGAATGCTGAACAAACAAACACATGGTAAGCAAAAAAAATCCAAAATAAGCTCTTCTATCCCTTCAGTTCTCCTTTTTGCACCCCAACCAAACCCTATCCATACCACACAGAAAAGGCTGGTCAATTTGTAAACATATTATTTTTCCAGAATTCTATTTTGCCATCAAACTATTACTCTAAATAGAGTATGATAATGACAATTCACCGTTGTAAATATGAATACATTTCTAATATCTATTCGTCTGCATATTTTTTTCTTTTCTTCCTTTCATGTGATTTATCCACGAGCATCGTCCTTCTTTGGGCGTTTATAAAGCAAACGCGTGGTCTTCTCCCATTGGCTCCGGAAATGACCGTTTAGACTTTCTCTTTTCCGATTGGCTTAACACACTGATGCTTCCTTATTGAGCCCAACGGCCGACGTCCAATCAGATTCAGACATCTGTTCCGAGCCGAGAGGAAAAGCGGCGTTACTATATCGGCGGCGCACACTGAATCATGACTGTATGAAAGTCGGAGGAACCCGGTCGGCGTGTGGTGTAGACTCTCAGAGACGTTGCTACAGATATTCGGACGGTGTGGACGCGTGTTAGCGGCTGTGAGTGGCTTTATTTTCGGACGCGGGGCTTCACAATGACAGCGCTGTCTCTGCTCTTGGTGGTCGTGTCGGCAGCATCTGTTCTGGCCGAGTCCACGGTGCATTTTCGAGAACAATTTGAAGATGCTGGTAAGGTTTTTCCTCAATGACATCACATTTCCATCGTTCTTCTATAATACCATACGTTTTTTTTTTGTTTAGCTTGTTTTTATTTGAGGTTGTTGAATGAGTGCATACGTGGTTAAACCACGGTTCATCAATAGTCATGTTGTGCTGTTTAAACGGTATTATAGCATGATCTGATTATTTTAAAATTAATTCTATTCTTCATTCAAATATTCCAAGCCATGGCAAAATTCATTTTCTCCCCTCCCCTTTTTTTTTTTTTTTTTTTTTTTTACCCCTCCCACCCTTTCATTTCTCTCTTCTGTACCCCATCCACCTTCCTTTTGCCCATCTCCCCCCCCGGTCCCTCCCTGTCAGCCTCCATGGCCCAGCTGCCCCTCTCCCCTCTGGGAGTGGAGTCCCACGGGTGCACCCATGGGTGCACCTGCTCCAGTGCCCCATCAGAGGGGGCCCGGCCCGGCTGAGCCTGTCTCTCTGTGGCTGAACCTGAACTTGTCTGTGCAGATTCCTGGGAGAGTCGCTGGGTAGAATCCAAGCACAAGTCAGACTATGGCAAGTTTGTCCTGACAGCTGGGAAGTTCTACGGAGATGCGGAGAAAGACAAAGGTGAGTAAGCAGAACAGGTTTCTTGGTATGCAGCTTTACAACAAAGGGGATCTCACCCATAGGATGAATGATCAATCTACACCGTAGTGCACCGGGAATTCATTTTAGTTTAGATGGAATTAAATGAGCTGGTTCTGAATGAAGGGCTCTCGTCTGGGACTGTGCCAGCCTCCCATTTAAAGCCTTGCTGGCTGTCAGAGCTACTTTATGGCTGCCTCCTCATGGAGCAGCCCCAGAGTACATCTCCACAGGGCGTCAGTCTGTCCTTTCAGCGTCACAAAGTGAAATGTATTCAAATACTCGTCTCACTGCAGGTCTGCAGACGAGCCAGGATGCCCGCTTTTATGCTATGTCAGCCCGTTTCGATGACTTCAGCAACAAAGGCCAGCCTCTAGTCATCCAGTTCACTGTGAAGCATGAGCAGAGCATCGACTGTGGCGGAGGATACATCAAACTGTTCCCCTCCGAACTCAACCAGGAGGAGATGCACGGAGACTCTGTCTACAACATCATGTTTGGTGGGTTGGGGTAGTTTCCCTTAACTGTAATGTGTTAGGAATCAGCACTGATGCTTCCCTATAGGTCAGACTTCTAATATATACTAACATCCATTGTCCTATTTGTTTTCTTCTTTCTTTCCCCTCTCCAGGACCTGATATTTGCGGCCCTGGCACAAAGAAAGTGCACGTGATCTTCAACTACAAGGGCAAAAACCATCTGATAAACAAGGACATCCGCTGTAAGGTGAGACATTATCAACATGGCGGCGTGTTCAGAGAGGGAGCAGCCAGGCTGCAGAATCTGTGGAGCAGCTCACGGCTTTCTGTCCCCCGCAGGACGACGAGTACTCCCACCTGTACACGCTCATCGTCAACCCGGACAACACTTATGAGGTCAAGATCGACAATAAAAAGGTGGAGTCGGGAAATCTCGAGGACGACTGGGACTTCCTGCCACCCAAGAAAATCAAGGATCCGGAGGCTAAAAAGCCAGAGGACTGGGACGACAGGGAGAGGATCCCAGACCCCGACGATAAGAAACCAGAGGTTAGTTGTATGCGCTTATTTTTTCCTGCACACAGGCGCGCGATTAAAGACATTTCTGATTGTTGGTGTCCTTCTTTTGTCTTTTGTAGGACTGGGACAAACCCGAGAACATCCCAGATCCTGATGCGAAGAAGCCAGACGACTGGGATGACGAAATGGACGGAGAATGGGAGCCACCTATGATCACCAACCCTGATTACAAGGTGTGCATCAAATAATTCTGCCACCTCCAAAGTCAGCATTTTAAACTGTTGCTGTCTCACCAATTTGGTGCTAAACACATAGCTGTATTTCCTTTTTACTTGTATGTTCAGGGTACTGTAACATTTCTGACCTCCTCCTAAAGTGGGGATTCTCACAATAGAAGAAAATGACTGAGATGGTCCTGAAAGACGTAAATGCTCCATTTATGACACGCTGCCTCAGTCTGAACAGACTATCAGAAAACAGGGGATCTTTTCTATCTTGTTTTGTCCCACAGCTACTGCAGAGTGATTATTCCAGATGACCTTTTCCCATCGCCTGGCAGATTAGCTTTTCTGGCTTTTTTTTGTTTGTTTGTCCTGAGACTAACTGGAATGTCTTTTTTTTGTGTCTGTCTGCTGTTTGCAGGGCGAGTGGAAACCCAGAGAGATTGATAATCCTGCCTACAAGGGCAAGTGGATCCACCCCGAGATTGACAACCCAGAGTACACAGCTGACCCCGAGATCTACCAGTACGACAGCGTTGGCGTGATCGGACTGGACTTGTGGCAGGTAAGAGGACTGAACACGCGATGGCTCATTCCTTATGTTCTCAACATTTTAAATGATCTGAAGTGGAAATGGATGATTAAAAAAAAAAAGTTTCTTTTTTTTTGTCATTAAATGCTTGCTTATTCATTGTTGTTCTCTTATTTCTGCAAAGGTCAAGTCTGGCACTATCTTTGACAACTTTCTTATCACCAATGATCCAAAAATGGCAGAGGAAGTTGGCAATGAGACTTGGGGCAAAACTAAGGTACAGTTTTACCACATTTCACAACATAGTTGTGTTTTTTACTTTTCAGTAAAGCAGTTTTTATTTTTATTTTTATTTTTTAACATTTGCTATGGGGAAAATGCTATGTCAAGCACTTCTCATCAAGCTTGTGTTTTTGTTTTTGTTCCTTTAGGATCCTGAGAGAAAGATGAAGGAGAGCCAAGACGAGGAGGAAAGGAAGAAACGCGAGGAAGAGGACAAGCTAAGGAAAGACGAGGCAAAGGAGGAGGACGAGGATGAAGAGGAAAAGGATGAGGAGGACGAGGAGGAGGACGAGGGAGAAGAGCCTGAGGAGGATGAGGAGGAGGAGGAAGAAGAGGACACAGACTCCAAAGTCAGGGACGAGTTGTAAACTCAGGAACTGCTCAGACTGATGGCGTCAGGGGGCCGTTTGTGAACCAGGGTGGAGACCGAGATGATAGACCCTC